CTTACAATACCGTGTTCGAATTAATCCTCGTCTCACGACACTCACAATTCTTCACCAAGCTATTATATTACCCGAAAAGCTTTTAAAAATAATACCTTGATTTAGCTTATATAATATTTTACGCAAAATATAATGTATCGGATTAATCTTTAAAATTCTATGACTAGAATCAGATAAATTTAAGAATATCGTCGTGAATTTTCAGAATGTACACAACTCGATCAAATTCGTTGTATTAAAGCTATAGTTACATATTTTCTAAGAAAGTCGAAACATAATTATTTCTATATCTATTGCTTAATAGGCTGTCAAATCACTATCACGCAATAATACCAATCATTTCATACCTTAAAAAACATTCACATAAAAATGTAAAATATTTTCTGCTGGCATTTCGAAATTTTATCATTTATTTTCACTGGGAAACTAAGTACGTGAATTGTCTCGATTGTCTTTGTCTATGGTCAAACAGATAAGGATAAGGATTTCCTGCACACGTCATACTGTTCTAAAAATAACACTGCTCATGGAATTAGCAAACCTCAACGTTGATGTTTCAATTTGATAATGATATATTTTCCAATTTCTCAGCTGGCCTTCGTAAATAATAGGATTATTCTTTAACAAGAGCGGGATGTGTATGGATTCCACAATGTTTTAATGCTTTATTTTAACATATTTTAAACACAGGACTTAAAGAATTATAACTGTCGCTTTAACCCCCTCTCCTCCCCTTTAAAATACAGTCTAATTAGTATGGCTAACGAAAATGTATCGACTTTCTATATGGGAAAAATGAAAGTTTTATTTAAGAGCATGGAAGCCTTTAGAAATTAAAGACGTTTATCAACTATTTACAAAAGGTGTCAATTATTTTGTCAATATATCAAAGTTGCAAACCAAACTTTATTTGTCTTAAGAGGAAGGCCAGATTGATTAAAAATTTCGCAGTTATTTTTTTGGCGATTTTATAATTTCAATAGTATAAATAAGCCTAATAAATCTTATGGGCGACTAACTGATCTTCACTGTATAATATTGACGCGGACTTACCGAAATCGGTCTAGACCGAAAATAGACGTTATTGTAGAGCTGACAATACTGATTGAAGAACTCTTTTAATATACAGTCCCAAACTTGATTCAACAAGATGATATTGAGATGTAAAAAATCGAAAGGTCTTCTCAACATCCATTAAACCAGTGGGTGAACAGTATAAACTAAGCTAGCCGACAATAAATGTATAGAAGTAGTGGAAATGGTAACATAGATTAAGCATCTCCAAGCGCTTACAATAAGATGGATGTGTCGGCGTCGATCTGGTAACTAACCTGTATATTAGAAACTTGTCGCGGTTAGTATCGTTCATCATTCTATTGTTTTCCCTCTATTATTTAAAAGTTTCTGGGTTAACCGATGCGTCAATATATCAAGCGAAGAGGTTTTTTGTTCAAATAAGCGTAATGGAATTTGACTGTAGGAGTTTTTATAGGATGTTAAATGGTGCATTTCAAGATTAGATTGTTGCTTCCTGTGCTATAATTCTGAACACTGATGTATATTTTCTATAAGGTAATAATTTGCAATTAGTAATTCTCTTCCATTCAATTTCATCCTTTGTATTGTGTATATATTTAATTTACCTTTCTCGAGGTGTTCTGATGTAGTTCATCTGTTCTATTGTCATTTTATTTATTTTGTTCTCCCGTAAAGTGGTATGGTGTAGTTCATCTTTTATATTATCAAAGTGCCAAAAGTTTGGAGATAAAGCTAGATTAGACTGTCTATATCAGAGTATATCATATCTCTCGGATTATTAATCACGTCCGTCGAATTTAATATTAGAAGAGAATAATAACACCAGACCACATTGATAAATTTGTAAAAGTGACAAAACCTAGGTTTATCGATAGTATAATCGTAAAGTGAAAACAAGAAAAATATCGAGTTACACAGTGTAGAGATTTTATTGATAACACGCCATCTAGTCTAGCATCCTGTAGTCTTAATGACACAAAAAACTAACATCACAATTGATCAAACAAATCATATCAATGACTAAACTAACAATCAGTAAGCTTCGTGATGATTGGAATTTTGTGTCGTCGGAATCGAACACGATATGTGAACAAGCGTTAATATCATATCTTGGTATGGCATTTATGTTTATCATTTATATCATAAAATATAACACACGTATTAAGCTGGACAGAATATTGGATAAAATGCCATCACTTTGATTACAAAATCGATTGTTTAGTTCACTAGCTGATTTCATGGGAGAATATTTGATTTGAAATCCTTGAATAGAATTGACAGCTTCTTTCAGATTTGAAAAACAGATTTCCGGCAGAAGCCAAATCATGGATAGAATCTATTTGCATCAATGCTAGATATACAAACCATGAAATATAGGCATTATATTATATATACATAGCATTTAATATTTCTACTGCTTGACAGAACCAGTATCTAAATCATGTACGTTAATCTTTTTTTTTTCATCTCGGGGAAACATAAGTAAGAAATAATATTTCTACACAAGTCTTAATAAAACCACATAGGGAATAATATCAGTTAACGAATTGGTGTAAAACCAAATGTAAGATCAAATAGCCAATTTGGATAAATGTCGTAAGTGGACGCGAAGAAAAAATCAATCATTTGTCCGCAGAGTTAGTTATTATGTATAATCAAATACACTTTTCACGTTATCTCTGTTAGTTTAAAATAGCTGCCATAACACGTGTTAAGAGGGTGATGGGGGTCATTGCTTGAGTAACTCTAATGATAGGAATGCTTAATCTCGGGAGGCTTAAAAAGGCAAAGCATGCGATTGTAGATCAACAGTGATTAGTTAGCTAATCGATCTCTCCTCGTCTATTAAAACGTTTAACCCTATGTCCATACTCAAAACGTGGTTGCCACTATATTTTTGGAATCACAGCAATCGATGGAAGCATAGGGGTATTGCAAATCAACTTTATGATATGACGGGGGCAGGCATCGGATGCCAAAGGAAACGTGTCCTTACCTGTTAACGGGAAAGAACTAATTTAATGTATATTACTGGTTTCCTCAATTGGCGCGTACTAACAGCGTTCTTGAGATTTTACCACGGAAGAGTTAACCTATCAAGCGGGATAAAAAAGGCAAATTATTGGAGAGTATTTGATTTAATTATGGGTAAAAGCTATTCGCCTGATTTTATATTGAATGTAATTTCTCGGCAAACGGTCTTTTTTCCTCGGGTAAGACGAGCATGTGTTATTGAAACGTATTAGTGTAGAAGGTGGTCGAGTGTAATTGTTAGAAATGGCTACTGAAGACGGGACATAACTACATTTAGACTCACACTTACAAAATAATGTGGTGTCGTGTCCTGCAGTATTAACTCTCAAGGGAAACGAATGTGCCATATCTAGAGAAATTCTATAGGATACAGTTTATATAAGAACACTGGGAGGTGTCGGATTTCCGAGGATATAAGATTGATCACTCTTATCAGACACATCATAACTGGAGAGTTTGGATCAGTGTTTTGTCTTTTGGAGAATGAGGAAACAGTCCAGTAAACTTCCGATTCTCTGTGGATACCCTTTATTTTATTAATGTACATTGGTGAATTGATCAAAGTGAATAGACATTTTATTTGAAAACAACATTGTATTTTAATCGTTTTTCACGAATCGTACCCAGAGTTGGCCTTTGAAATCCCCTAGAGGCTGGCGGGGTATTGTGGATATGTCAATATGGAATACTGGTGTAATAAAAAAAGTAGTAAACACAATATATGAGGGAAAAGTTGAACAATCAATAAGAGTGAATTGATTTGGCGTTCTATTGAAATAGAAAGTTTACGTCTGTTATACACCGAAGACAACAAATGAAAGCATTATGTGGCTTTATGCACCGAGAGCATCACTTATATTAAATGAACGTGTCTAAATGAGTAAGAGTACAGATAACTTTACAAAGTGAATCATCTATAAGTGTTGGTATTGTGACATACAACTTATTAGTGAAAGCAAAAAGAAACAATATTGTTAAAAACATTGCTTCGATTCGGTAGGTGGAATAACTTATTGAACTGAAGAAAAACCAACATAGTTGATTCGTTTTTCTCATGAAGAGTTGGTGATGTAAATTTGTCAAATAGCTAAGACACTAATTAAAGTCTCGGTGAGATATATAGATCCATTAGTGTTGGCGTACATTTGGTGCTTCCTGGTTTAAGAATCTTTCAGGAAAAAAGGGCAGATCTCAAATCAAAACTTACGCAATAATTAAACCCAAGGCAGTTTTTCGAACTGGTTAATACTGTTTAATAACCAAAGGAAAACTTTGTAGTATAATTCTGTGAGCATACTATATATTCCCTAATGGTTTTAACGGTAGTGGTCAATCTTAAGGAAGCACATAGTCTGTGAAATGGTTCCCAACAGATCTTTATAGCCTAATGGAATTTTCGGTATGCTGAAATGGTTAATCAATCATATTTGTCTATATATACCTAGTAAATCTAATTTGAAATCCTTCCCAGTTTTATTTCCATTGACAAATCTAACAACGGTGTCACATTAAGTGTTACCGCCTCTTTTTGACCAAGGGTATAAATTCAATATTACCTGAAATTCTAAGTTTCGCAAAATGCTCGTTAGCTTTATGAGGTAGGTGATTTTGTTACATATTTAAGGCAGTCTCTGGATTCCTAGTAATAACTTCAATTTATATATCTGGGATATTTTCTGCTCATTTCGTTTTAAATGTGTAAACCTGATTATTGGCAAAATATCTGATCGTTTGTCAGCAAGTTTCAGCTGTCGTAAACAATACGTTTATAACAAGTCAAAGTTGGCGTGATCCGAGTACGGAGAATGTTAATTGGTAAATCATGCTACATACAGCTCGAAGAAAATTGTAAAAAAAGAGGAGATGTAGTTATGCTATAAGAAGAGACTTCCTACTAATTTTCGTATCACTGGGTGTGCTCTCGGGACACGACAAACATTGCAATGCAACGACTTGGTATTTTTAGTCCTTCAGGTAGACAGCAATGGTAAGGAATAGACTATTTACGTGAAAAGAAGATGGAAGAGAAATATGCAGCTGTCGCGTCAGCAATCATCGTTGTCATGGTAGCCAAGTTTGCCGGAGGATCCCAGGGTGTTCCAATTGGTAAGTATAATGTTAAATCTAGATTTAAACATTTAGGCAATTATTTAGATCTTCTTATTTTTCATTAATATTTGAACAGATCAGTTGGAACAAACATATTTGTTGCACAAAGATCGTCTGAAATAACCATTTATGTGTATTATCTAGAAGTATTTGGTTCCTCATTTGTATTTATTCGTTATATGTATCATTATTTTTAAGTTATAAATGGAAATCAGAAGGTTTTCTCGCTATAACTAACTGCCATTGCACGGATCTGAAAGAATCTGAATAAACAATTGAATAATTCGAAAATTTTAAGTCTTAACGGATGGCTGACTGATAGTATGACATACATTGTCCTAAAATAGTGCCCAAAAAAAGCCCAGTTATAAATTTAAATAAAATTAAATTACATTGTACATAGCTCTGTCTGCACATAAACCAGACATGCTCTAAACCCTACAGCTACTACTACTTTGGTGATGCTGCTGCTGGGGGTGCACCTCCGGTTCAACCTATGGTGGTGATGTCGCATACTATATCCATCACAGTCCCTCTTCTATGCTCCGGGATTTTAAAATTAGAGTAGGCGTTCATATCTTACGTTATTTATATTTTTCGGAGGGATACAGAAATCTGTCCATTATGTTCAGTTAACATTCCTTTATCGTCTTCTCTATTCTGCTCGAACTCGGCGGTGCTCTGAAAAACTCATTGTTGTGTCATTTGTCTGTGGAATTGTACATGTGCTCTGAAGACTAGAAAAACCAGAGTTGATCAGCATCAAATAATTATCTGAGTAAATCAATGAATAAAAGGGTGCTCGTATCTTCGACCGGTCAAAAATATAAGGTAGTCCCCATGACTCAGTGGTAATTTCCCGCGGTTCTGCGCATTTAATAGCCCCAAATAAAATAGTTGTCGTGGGTACCCTGTCAGATTAACATAAATCGTTATATAGTATATCATTAAGTTAATAATCAGGAACTTTCATTAGAGTCCAGTACAAATATTTAACAATTTCGACTCCTTCTGACTAGAACAACCCCGGGATTCCCAGCGAGATTCGTCAAGTTTCTGCTATGAACGGCTGTAGCGGTGACAAACGAACTGTCCACAAGAAGAACGCGAGAGGTTCGACTCCTTCTGGTTAGAACAACCCCGGGATTCCCAGCGAGATTCGTCAAGTTTGTGCTATGAACGGCTGTAGCGGTGACAAACGAACTGTCCACAAGAAGAACACGAGAGTGTCGATTCAACTCCGTATGGTGGTACTAGCACCATGAGGTAAAAAGTAGTCTTAAATGACAATTATTAGTAAGTGCAAGAAAACAGCACCACCCATAACAACCAAATATAAACAACACCCGGACATTGTAAGTAAAAAATACTGGTCTGTTCATACGCGGGACTACACGCGAAAACAAACACCCAAAGGAGGCAACCTAAAAGCCGCAAAAAAATGAGGAAATGAAAGGCACCATCTGAATAAAAAAATGTATTATTCTAGGTTATGTCATGAGAGAAAATGATTGTAGATATGCTCAAATTGTAGAAAAAGAGGTAATTCATAGATGTTAAATCGAATTCCAGTAATTGAAATTGTTAAAAGCCACTGCAATAATGTAAAAATCAACACAGGGCCATAAATCCCTTCTTTAAAAAAAAGAACGAAAACTATTTATTGAATACAACAGAGTAGTAATCAAAGGGATGAGGGCAGTATTGTTCCCGCTATAAATTTTTTTTTAAGAAAGAAAACCTGGTGACCTGGTCATAACAATCGGGTGTTTTGTCATGTTAAACTAATTAACTCGCGACTACGGTTGTTCAGTCATTCTCTTATCACTACCCCTGTTCATTTCTGAAAATCTGCTTACGGTTTCCCTGATAGTAATCAAAGCGATGCGACGACCTGGCTATGTGGCGGTGGTCTGCTGGATGGTATTGTTAAGCAACAACGCCAAAACAAACAAAAAACATTGCATGGTAAAAATAAGGGCTAAAATATTGGCATAAATCGCTGTAACATACAAACAGATTGCTAAAAATATGATCAGCTACATACTTGAAAGAATTGCAATCTTGGTATATTGAAGAAAGGGGACTTTGGAAATGTCCTTTATAAAACGAATCTGTGTTACATTCTTCGCAGTACAATAAAGTGATCTTCTTTTAGAAAGTAATAACCTTTTGTCGTTAGAGATAGTTAAAGGCGGCTGTGGTATCAGAATGTTTAGTTATGGAGGACTAGTTCAGGGGCATAAATTTCATATTTATATTAACTGTTGAAAGTTCCTGAAAGTAGCTGTCTTCAGTAGCCCGGATGGAGCAAAACAGTGAGACGTTAAGGCCCATTTCATTCCTTTTGTCGATTATGAAAGCAAATTCTCACGTACATTAACTTCGCATTGACAATATATAGGGCAAAACCAGTTCCCATTGGAAGGCGATGTTTTGTTATGTTAGGCCAATCGTTTGTTGTGTTATTTGGAAGTTATGTTTATCGAAAGTTACGTATCGGTATTCCGAGGTTCTATTTTCCATGTTGCCTCTTGGGACATTATACGAGCTTTTACTATTTGTTATATGTTATACAGATAATGTTTGACTTTCTTTTTAAAATGAATCTCTGGCCTACTGGTATCTAATTCATTTGTAATTAGGAACGTGTAATTTATAAGTAAAGAAATATGTCTTGAATAGGATTTCTAGCTCACGGTCGGATATTTCCACGGTTATTGAACGAACCTTTTGCTAATTCACAAGGACTTACCACGATTATGTAACGCAGTGGCTATATATTTTTCATCTATAACAATATAACCTAAAGAAATGATGTTAATTACCTTGGTAGGTTTGCTCCTCATTTCACTTAAGTTGGGTTTTTTAGATGACACGAGAGTAGTCATGGGGTTTAACGTTCACAGACTACGTCATTTCGGGACTAACATATGGTTCAATTTCATTTCAATAATTCGCCTGTTTGTGGTCTTTAGAAGTGGGAGGAAACCGGGCCGGGGGATCCGGAGAAAACCTACGCTTTTGGACAGACGACCCTACGCCTTGTCACGTACAAGCGAGGAATCGAAACCTAACCATTTCACTCAATGACAGATTTTATGATCCAACGCGCACCCGTTAAACCATTCGGACAGTTTATCTCCATTAAAGGGTTTGCTTGTATAGATAACTCCAGTGTTACATGTAGCCTACCGATATTGTGTTCCACTGTCGACAGAGAAAGCCAAAACTTGAAGTAATATTAGTAGACAAACCGGCTTAATCTTTTGAAACCAAATCTAACAGAAATAACACATTAAATCAGCCCGATTCATTATTTCATTTTGACCTAAATCAATGAGGTTTGGCTCTTTAAACTTTTAATTTGAAAGAAGTTTAACTTTAATGTTATTTTACGATCAACGACCATGATTAGAAACTTGTCGAGATTATTTCGCTTACTTCAACAACACCTCAAACGACGTACTTAATATTCATACCTTTTTCTTATTCCATTACAACACAACCATTCTTTATTGAATTCAGCGTGGACTTCATCTACATTCTCAGTCATGTAAATATGGAATGATATATTGTTATATCACATGATGATTCGTTTTACCATGACTTTTAAGAGGAACTTACATTAATAATCGAAACGAGTGTCTGATTTATCACGTAAAATGACTTCATCTAATACCCCTGACAAATGTCAGTGTCAGTTTTTTTCCTTTTTTTGGATGTCTTTAGAAAATGATAGAGGCACATTACGTGTGTTCAATATATCTACTACGTTGGCTGATGTAAACAAAAGTCGCCCTGTCCTCCTGGTTTTACATATAAATTATAGCTAATTATTAACCCATTATACGTGAAGCTATTGTGTCTGACTTTAAAACATTGTTAACAGTCTACGGGCGGAGCTTTTAGATTATTGTCAAATTGGCTTAGGTTGTCCTATTAAAATAGAAACTCACGCTTAAAATATTCGGAGAGTAAACTCTTTAAAGAAGGATGTACTTGAAATTTAAGTTTCAAATTTAGAAGAAGTGAAAAAGCTATTAACAATGGTAATGTGTGATGTTCCCGATAACGAAATTGTTTCTAGACTCCATACACATTTCTGTATCACTTCACTCTTCAAAAAATATTTCCACTCACACTATACAATATGCTGTTAACGTCATCAAGTGCTTTTGGTCTGACATCTGCACATGTACATAGACTTAAAATTAAATTCTAAATTCTATTGTGACAGCAGTGAACTAATGTAAGCATATTATGCTGGAGATATCAACACGGTCTATCAATAATCTTGACATATATTATTTCAAAGCAAAAAATTCGACATTTTGTTTCATTACATAAGGAACCATGTTATGTGACTAGACTTATTTGACATATATACACATACTAAGTAATACAAAAGACGGGCTGATTAAATTTATCTCAATTCGTTGGACTCAGGTTCTCTTATGGCTATTCTCAACTGTCAAGACAGATCGATTGAAATTTTACTGTAATTCGTCAGAGATTACACAATTTGTTTCATGTGTCAATAAATAATATTATTGGCTATTTTAAAAGGGTAATTGAAAACGACAAGGGATTTTTTAGTCTTTTAGGAAGTTGTCTAGACAAGGCCAGAACTGATGATAAGGAGAAGTCAGCGTAACATTTTTAAACTTTTGTTTACTGTGGGAAGAAAATCAAACTGTTTGTTTTAATAAGATTATGAAATAACAATTGATTTTGCGTTAACTCATTACTTATGCTATTGTATTTAATCCACAAGGTGGGTAACTCCGTTTTTAAAACCACATCGCAAGACAGTGGATGCTCATATTTGTAGAACACCCGAAGCAATTCTTTGATTTAACAGATCAAGTTCCAAGTTCCCCCATTTAGTTTTAACTAAAAGTGGGTGTTGTACATGAGACAAGGTGTGTTTATTATTTCTAGAACACCTCATAAAACATACGTAACACATTGTTGTGTTTTTGTAACTGGATGAC